AATATTTAATTGTTAGTTGTTTTAAACAAGTACGATTTTTTCAAAAATAACCGGCTATAGGTTATTGAACGTAATGCAAGGTTATTAGGTTAATTGGTGAAAAAAAAACTACCTTTAAATAACCGGTTATTTTAGAGGAAAATACCGGTTATTCAAAAAACCGGTTACTTTTGCCCATCTCTACTTTTGGCGGAATGGGCAGTCCTATTGGGTTAACTCAAGGTTAACTGTTCTTGGCGTTCACTATGCGTTCACCCTCAGAATCTCATAACCTCAAAAATTTCCGTGAAAAAAGAAATAAGTTTTTCCAGTTTTAACATTTTTTATGTCTTCAAAGAGTATAATTAAGTCTAATTTTTTTAGCGATGTACTGCCTTGTCTATGGTACTGTCTATTGGTGTTTATTTTCTATGGTGTTTAGTTACTCGTATTGTAAATCCACTTGATCAATCGTGGATCAATCCATCAAGATAAAATAATCGATTACCATGTCTTGTGATCTACAATGTTATTTAATCAGTTTAGAAAACTCAAAAAAGATTAACTTATTAAATCTAAAACCAATAATCCTAGGTAGAAACAAAGAGACTGAAGTTAAAGACTCCTTAATTTCAAGAAAACAAATTGTTATTTATTCTATTACAGATGAACGTAATGTAAAGTTGAAAGTAATAGGTAAAGCTGTGTCTGGCTGTAATGGTTTAGCATTACACAACAATGTTGTCTATACTATTGGACCTCATGACATAATTGAACTTAGATTAGGTTATCATAAATTTAAAATTGTTTTTGAGCCTGATTCTGAATCAAAAATGGACAGTATTGAAGGAAACATTGCAAAAAAACCTAGAATGGAATCTGCATCTATATCTACAGAAAGTAATGTTGAAAAAAATGAGTGTAAATTTTTGGAAGGTTCTTGGATAGAAGTTGATAATAAAGAATTACTGGTTTATACACCAGAAAATTGTGAATGTAGAGCTAAAATTGCAGGGTTTGATATTGATGGTACTATAATTAAAACTAAATCTGGAGCTCGATTTCCTAAAAATTCTGATGACTGGACATGGAATCTAGGTAATGTAAAGAGCCAGTTAAGAGAATTATTTAAAAATGGTTACAAGCTTGTTTTTTTTACCAATCAATTGGGACTTTGGAATAATAATTCTAAAACTAATGATTTCAAGAAAAAAATTGAGAATATTATAAAAGCAATAAATTTGCCAATCCAAGTTTTTATATCAGTTGGTAAACGATTATATAGAAAACCAAGAACAGGAATGTGGGATAAATTAGTAAAAATGAATGATAACATTACAATTGATGTTGACAATTCATTTTTTGTGGGGGATGCAGCGGGACGAGAGAAAAATTGGGCACCTAAAAAGAATAAGGACCATTCTTTATCAGATCGTCTTTTTGCAATGAATATTGGTATGTATTTCAACTTAACTAAATGTTTTTTGGGTCAAATTTAGATACAGATTTGAAAGTTACTAGGTAGTTAGGTTTATTTCTAGGTGTTACTTATTTCTAAAATATTTTCCACTTTCTGACATTTCGATTTTAACCAGGAGTGGCTGTTAATTTGCATATTTTACTTAAGATATTTTGTACAGTATGTCCTTGGATTCTCTTTACAACAGGAAAAACTTTTTTATTAGTAACATTTTGAGAAAAATGTATTCTTTAAAAAAAATGTTGCTTATTCTAAAATGGTTAATTTCATTTATACTCTTTCAAATTTCCATACCGTTTTAGAGAAAATTACAAAAAACATGAAAATAAGCTTGACTTTTTCCCTAAAGATGAAGCCAGAGGATGAAGCATAGACTAATGTCATGTACTAGAGATGAAATTGATGAAGTCCTAAAAATTAAAAGGAGTTTCTATGGTAATATAATTTCAATTTCATTCTTTGATAGATTGTTATTGATAGAAATTTAATTAATGTACCTAATACCTAATTGTTGCTGTTTTAAAATGTTAAAGAAGTGCAAAATTTATTTATTTCAATGCTATGAAAAGGGGGATAATAGTTATCAGAAAATGTGATACTTTAACAACAGCAAAAATATGCCGCCAATCAAAATAAATAATAACTATCTATCAAAGAATGAAATCGAAATTGTATTGCCATAGAAACGCCTTTAATTTTTAGGACTTTCGGTAAAATTCAAACATATTTTCAAGTTTTTTGTAATTTTTTCTAAAACGGTATAGAAATTTGGAAAAGTGTTAACGGGATTAACCATTTTAGAACAAGCAAACATTTTTATGAAGAATGCAGTTTTCTCAAATTGTTAATAATAAGAAAGTTTTTCCTCTTGTAAAGACAATCCGGGGACATACTGTATACCTCTGTATTTTATTACTTTTATATTATTACATAAAATTCTTTATGTATAAGAATATATTTTGTCTTTATCTTTTTGTCTTATATATCTTAGTTTAGTCATTCAGAAATTGGTTTTATTTTAGATTTTTAAAGTTAAAATTTCTAAAATTTTTTATTTTAGAAATTATACTTATTTTAGATTTTTTCAACAAAAAAATGAGTCAAAACTATGGAGGACTTTAAACCTTTAACCGCTAACGTGTGGAAAGAACTGGAAGTAAATTAACTTATTAGTTAAACAATATTAAGTACCTACTTCCAATTAAAAACTTTTTACTTTTTATAGTGGTCACCAGTGATTCTAACTCGTGGGAAATTTTCCGATTCGTAGGATATTTCGAGATCCAGAGGGAAAAGGGATATTTTAACCCAAAACATCATATTCGTCGGAAATTCTAAATTCATGGATTATTTTTAAAAATATACTGGTAATTATTGGAAAAACTGGAAATCGTCCGATTTTCACAAAAATTTGTATACACCCTATTTTGAGGTCATAGATTATGAATCTGAACTTTTTTTGGCGGTCTCTTGCCGTTTTTCAGAAAAATCCAAAAATATAGACCCAGCCCAACCCAAAATTACATTTTTAAAACTTTTTCATATTTGTAAGATTTTCTCGCACATATAGTTAGGTATTCCATAAACATTCAGGTTTTTTACCATTTTCTGTTAGTTTTGAACCACTTCTATGCGAGAGAAAACTTGGCTAAAACATTTTTGTAAGCAATTTGAAACGGTTATGTTACGTGTTAGTAACATTTAAAGCCACGTTTCCAGATCTAAATTTAGCGGGCACCCTGATTCTCAGATTAATAGAGACGGAAATTATTTTTCGTTCTTTCCGCGCAAAAAAACAAAACAAAAAAAAACATTTTTTTTACTAACAACTACCCTTTAATATCATAGAATATACTTAGTTCAGCCTCCAGTGGGTTCAAAAATGAGTTTGTGATTGCTTTGTCAGTCTTTTTTTTGCAATTCGCTGGTTGTAGTAACTTTAAGGCTTGTTGTAGCGTTACCAGGGACGCAACTAGACACAGACTTTTAGGGGAGTTCAAGTCTTTTGGGGGCTTAGGTCACTATAAGATAATATTTATTTGAGGTTAAAACCCACCCAGCCCCCCTCCCTATTTGCGCCTCTGAGCGCTGCGGAATCATATCCGTAACGCTACGTATGATTACGGATTTTTAATTAGTTATGAGTAATTAATTAATTGGTTTTTATTAAATGTTGTTTGATTGGTCGGTTGGGTTAATTGGTTGGTTTGATTTGGCTGGTTGGTTTGGTTTTGGCTTGGTGGGTTGAAAAAACAGAAATAAACAAAAGAGTGAAGTCAAAGAATCAATCTTTTGTTTATTTCTGTTTTTTTTTTCAACCAACCAAACGAAACCAACCAACCAACAATTAATAAAAACCAATTAATTAATTACCAATGACAAATTAAAAATCTCTAATCAAATGTAAAAGCCGAAGACATGGCAACGTTGCAAATTTTTACATTTATGGAATAACATTTGTCTCTCTCATTGCATAAGACAGTAGAAGAGTGAAAGACGCATTATGAAATGTGAAACTTCCATCTTGTCTCAATTTTCGTTGTTTATTTTGTGAAAAGGCTTTTTCAGTAAAATTTTAGACATTTTTCCAGGGTTGGAAAAAATCATGATTTAAAAAAAAATAAAAAAAATCAGATTTATTTTATTTAAATCAGATTTTTTTTTATTTTAATTCAAAACAATACTTAAATCGGATTTCCAAATGACTAGGACTTATTTCCAATTAAAGTCCTATCCTAAATGGCTAAATCTTTATAACTCTCCCGATATCGATAACATTAATAATTCTACGGTGCGTTTGTCATTTTTCCACATCGGTCACAAATATATTTCGCAAAAAAGTCGCTCGCTTCAGATCAAAAAGATTTTTTTTCAAACGTCTCAAAAGTATTAATTTTTGTCATTCTAACGCCTAGACATAAAAGTAAAGCACTGTTACGCCTTAGCACAAAAGTACAAAAATATATTATTAAACTGATATCATAGATAAATGAAACAAGTTTAGATTGGAAAGTGCCCATAAGGACAATGTAAACACTATTTGGCGCTATTCTTGCAACGGTCGCGACCCAAAACTTTTGAAAATTTCTTAGCGGTTCGGCTTTTTCCGGAATTATATCGCCAAATATTGCTTATTCAAATTTATTATTATTTTCGTTTAATTTTATAAATAAAAGACAGTGTGTTGCATACAAGAAACTTTATTTTATATAAGGACGCATGTATGAAATACCTATGAAACATATCGGAAACCGACGTTATGCCACGATCCACGATGGTTTTTGCAGTTCACAGTTCACAGCACAGCTTTTTAAGTTTTTAATGCCACTTTTTCACTATTATCACCGGTTGGAGTAAATAAAACTTGAATTAAACTCACAAGATAGCAATTATTACTTTGAAAATGGACGCTATAAACACTTCGGAATTTCTTTAATGAGAGCAGTTTAGATTTTGAAAGATTATTATGATTTTTGAAGATTCTGACTTTGACAAGAGAAATTTATTTCTGTTTTTGTTTGCCGTTGTTCTTAGCGACCGCTATAGCAGTGCCAGATCGCGTATAACGGTCGCGACCCAAAATAATTTCGCGACCCAAAATTTTTACGGGCTTTCCAATCTAAACTTGTTTCATTTATCTATGACTGATATTAAGTGTCAAATTCAACTAGTGTACAAATTGTTGCTCGATTACTGTTTATATTATTTGCAATGTTTGAAATTGATTAAAAAATTATTTGTATAATGCTTTAAAAAAATAGTATGTTCTATTCGGAGTAAAAATGTACTTTTCGTGCGTCCTTGTGACGTCGAAATAGCTTTACGATGGTCCTTCGACGGTACAGCATCATCAAAAAAAGTATAATTTTTACTCCTAATAGAACAATACACTATTGTTCGGAAATAGTCTTAAGTCGAGAATAAAATTAGTATTATGCTTGTGTATTATCTAATGTCAAAGTATCAGGGTTGACATGATATATTATATCAATGATATATATCGGATATATATCATGATATTTATACCTTCATTAAGATGGCGCCGGCTAAATAAACACGCACACAACGGCAGCAGCGAAATAAAAGTGTTTTTAGTAGTGAAAAATTAAAAGTTTTTTATAAGCCATTGCTTAAATAAATTTCCACTCGAAACCACTTAAATCTGTGTTTTTTCCAAGTGTTTGTGTATATACCAACCTACTGTTTTGAGGTTAGTTTTGGTGTCTTATCTTCATAGCAACATGGGTCTATCAGATAATGACCTCGAGAAAATCAAGGGCATCTTTACTGACCGATTTCTACAGACAATTGCTGATAAGGTAACGAACGTTTTGGAAAGAAAATATAACACCAAGCTTAAGGAATAGGAACAACGGATAATTAAGTTGCAACAGGAAATTTGCGACCTGACAGCCATTAACAAGAATATAGAATTGGCTCACGATAATCAAGAGCAGGGAGCTGTAGGAATCTAAATATCAGAATTTTTGGAGTTCCGGTTAGTGAAAATGAAAATTTGCGTGTAAAAATCCAGGATGTTTTTAAGAAAATAAAGGTGGACATAGATGACATGCACATTAGCAAATGCCATAGAATCGCCTCTAGAAATCAACCCAACAAACCACCGGCAGTACTTGTTCGATTTTCGCGCGATGTAGATCGAACCCGGCTATTGAAAAATCGTAAATATTTACGTGCTACAGGAATTCAAGTGAGAGAGGACTTCACCAAAAATCGGTTAGCCTTGTTAACGGCCGCAGTGGAAAAATTTACCATCAAAAATGCCTGGTGCCTAAACGGCATAATATATGTTAAAGTGGGTGATAACGAGACTCGAGTGAATACAATGGAGGATCTAACAAAACTGAAAAACAATTGACTATGTAAGCGATTAAACTATTATGATGGGTGCATCTCCGAGAAATTATAATTTGATTTTTGTATTACCTAGGTAATTTTTTTAAGGGAGAAAATG